ACCAGAATTCTCACTGATCATGATCTCAACTGTTGACATGAAGGTGTTCAGAAAATATCGACAGGCTTCTTCTGTGATGGAGATCATGTGTGGCAATGATGATTGTACTTTGAGAATAATAAGGTGAAATAGATGGAAGACTGGTGTGGCCAATGAGAGGTTCTTTTTGTTATCCTGAGTGATCTGCCGCAGAATCTCGTGGGAATTACCACCAGCCTTAAGGTATCCCAGTAGGTAGTCAACTTCATTATCAGGGTTCAAGCAGACTTGCAAGAACTGAGTTAGAGCTGAAAATCATAATTTATTGATTACAAGTGAAACTTGGTCATGCTCTCTTCTGACTATTGCAAACTGTTTAATATTAATTTCCTGGCAGTACTCTCGCTCCATATATCATAATATGTGATATATATGTATCTTTACTATCAATATCAATAAATAAATATCGATAACTTTGTCAAGTTAAACCACATTTTGGTGAATTATTGTTTAACAAAAAACAATTAAATATTAAAATTAATTAGTTCATCTCTGTAATATATCAGTAATACAATAATACAATAGGGGTAATATAATAATAATAATGATGTAGTTTATTTGTCCTGGCTTTCAGATTGGAACACAAACCTATCCTACTCATATAATAAATTTTTATATATCTATATAAACCTATTCATAATATGACCTAAAAATTTGAGCTTCCCCAATAAATGCCAATTGGAGATCGCAGTATGCTGGCATAATACCTAAGAGAACACTGGACTTCCGGTAAAGCCTTTAGAATCCCTTTGAAGTTTGGAGGTTATTTTTTATATTCAACACATACATACTTATTCTATTCCACCCATTCATATGTCAACATACCCGTACTATGTCCTAGCTTCGCGGTAAGTTCTTTTCTGAAATGTTTAACGTCGAATCCTCCAACTCTATTCCGTTTCGATGGAATCTGTGCGTTTTTGTCTTCATTGTGAATTTGTTCATTTTCGCCCTTATTTACTTCGATTTCCGCGGTAGTTAAGTCGTCATTTTGTTGGGATGTACTTTTATCATTTTCATATTTACGTTTACCCATATTTTATAACTAGTTACATATGTCTTTCATTTATAGATAATTGAAATATAAATTTATTTCAATCACATAGAACACTCAAACTCATGTGCGTTTGTTTTGACAGTTACATTTTTTAATGGCACACGAACAATTTGCAAATGCCTCGTAATACTTACTAACATAGATTATAAACTTAATTACATTTCTAGGTTTTTAAAAATCTGTAACTTAAATGATGCTAAGTCTTAAATTATTCTTAGTATATTATAACACGCAACATCGTGGTTGATATAAAATAGGGTTCGCTTTAGATTTTCCACTAGACCGTCGAGAAAACTTCAATCGGAAAATAAACAAGCGATGGAAAATTGTGTCGAATATAATCTATGATAAATGACTAAGATGACAGATTTTTCTTAAGAAAGAAAAACCTTCAAAAATTATCACTGTGAAACATTCATGCTAGAGCATTGTTATGCCACAGGCTGTTTTGTTATCAAGCATTAGTTTGATAATTAAACTTCCAAGTAAATATTCGTCTATGTTTTCCATTAAGGCTCCGTTTAGTTATTCATTTTGTGTAGGCTGATTGAATATTATTAATTTTCCGAACTAAATTGGTATTACCGGATCCCAAAGGCAACCTATCTCGAAACATCGTTTGGGTCGTTTGGAACCCCGAGTCTGCGGAGGGACTTCAGTTCCTTTTATATTTTGTACTTTATGCTCCACGGGGAGTGCCCTGAGGAATTGTTTGAGATGACACCATCATCTCGTACCATCGCACCGTCCACCACTGGAGCAGAGTTCAACAACTGCGTTCATCTACAGTGCGTTTCCAGAGATCTTTTTTGTCACGTACCATCCGGGAATGAACTCCCCTTCACTGTGTTTCCCGAGCGCTATGACTTGTCCTTCTTCAAACAAGGCTTGTGGAGAGTATTAAAAGGTAGGCCAGAGGCTTGGTGGGCCGTGGGTCAGGTGGGCCGTATGCTTCGTGTGACAACACGGGCAACAACAAAAAAAAAAAAACTAGTCAAAGTCTCAATTGTTTCCTTTACAGACTGTTCCCGACAGCGCCACTGCGTCAGGTGAAAGAGTTCAGACGGATTCGTTCAGTGGGATGTTGCACTAAGCGCACTGATGTTGAGATGTTTTAGGGCCTTACCCTAAAAACAACGGTGCGCTTAGTGCGAGTTTTTTAACGTTCTCGATAGCGTAAAAGTTAGCTTATATTTGTATGGAACGGGATCGTTTGCCTACGTTTGCCGCTAGGGGCGCTGTTTCAACTGCATACAAAATTGGGTTAACTTTTACGTTATCGAGAACGTTATAAAACTCGCACTAAGCACACTGTAGTCCGTTAATATTCTCAGCCGCCCCCTAGGCGGAAACCTGAGAATGAGGTTCGGTCCTCGCCCAAAAAAAAAAGGTACTACACTTACTAACTAAACACAACGTACTTTATAAACGTTAGTGAAAGCCGACAAAAGAGAAAGAACACGACAGAAATATCGCATTCGATAATTCTATTTCGTATGTTTACATCGGATTTGCGCGCCATTACTAATTTTTTTACGAACAAACGCTAGATGCTGTTGTCACTGGGTCGTGTTGGCGATCCGGTAGTAGATGCTGCGAAGAACTACTCTTATTAGGGCCAGTGTTCGCAACACTCCGGTTTGAGCCCCGTGAGCTCACCTACATGTTAGGGCAAAGCTGAAATAGCCTCTCAAGGCTATCAGCATAGTTAGGAAAAAAAGAGACCTCACCTTATTAAAATAGGTTAAGGTAGGTGGACGATCTCACAGCGCACCTCATGTTAAGTGTTTACTGGAACCCATAGACATCCACGACGTAAATGCGCCACCTACCTTGAGATATAAGTTCTAAGGTCTCAAGTATAGTTACAACGGTTGCCCCACCCTTCAAGCCGAAACGCATTACTGCTTCACGGCAGAAATAGGCGGGGTGGTGGTACCTACCCGTGCGGACTCACAAGAGGTCCTACCACCAGTAATTACGCAAATTATAATTTTGCGGGTTTCATTTTTATTACACGATGTTATTCCTTCACCGTGGAAGTCAATCATGAACATTTGTTGAGTACGTATTCCATTAGAAAAATTGGTACCCGCCTGCGGGGTTCGAACACCGGTGCATCGCTCAACACGAATGCACCGGACGTCTTATCCCTTAGGCCACGATGACCATATTAATATGTTTTATTAAGGTAATGAATTTCATTCCCAACTTCTGGAACAATTGCACGCCCTGTATGACGAAATTAAACAATTTCATTATTTAAAGGTAAACCAACAGATTAACATATTACAATAACAATAGAGCTTATGGGTGTGTGTAATAATTAGTGAGATATTTCTCTTTCAAATTAATCATTCCTCCCACTACTAAAACAGTTATTACCATTTTTTTATTGGAACGAAGTTCTTTACGACAGGCTTGGAGGGGATAGGGATTTTGCTGCGCGACCGAACTGAAAAAAATGTGATAGTAAAACCGTAAGAAAAAATCCGTGGAAAAAAGTGCGTGGAATAAAACCGTTAAATGAGACGTGCGCAGGCGCGACAGTCGTATACACAAGCGAGTAGTGTATAATACCTTTCTCTTTCTCCCTCTTTCTTTTCGTTCTCTCATCCCTTCTCTCTCTATTTTGTAATTATTTCTATTTCTATGTAATTTTATGTTGTCAAACAAAAATAAAGAGACATATTTTGTTATTTTAATTGATAATTTTTTGAATTACGATTTAATTTTTATTTTACGTAATTTATTATTTCCTAAAATACTGAATTTCCTAAATACTTTCCTGTATTTAAATAAAAACTAATCAGCAAAATTTAAGAGAAAAATCAAGAAAACCAACATAAAATTGAGCACGATATATTTTTTTGCTAATTGTGTCGATTCTACATTAGCCGAAGGAACTTCGTTCCTACCTGGTGTCCCACGACACCACATAATTAGTTTTCACTTTTAATCACACGTCTATTTCCGTACAACGAATAGAAATACCTCTATTTTCTATCCTACCTATGCTGATGATAGCCTTGAGAGGCTATTTCAGCTTCGCCCTAACATGTAGGTGAGCTCACGGGGCTAAAACCGGAGTGTTGCTAGCACTGACCCTAGCAAGAGCAGTACTTCGCAGAATCTACCATCGGATCGGCAACGCGACCCTCTGAGAAGATCCGGCGATAAATTCAGTGGGTTGTATCTGTGGGTTAATTCGCTCGTCGCAGCGACGGGTTCGACGAGGACGGTGACCGGTGCTTGTGGTACCTAAAAGCACCGTTAATGGATCGGGAGGATCCGTAATGACGTGTTTTGGGCGACGTCGACTATTTACCATTCGGTCTACAGGATCGGGTATAAATACCTCTATTAAACATACTGTAACTTACCTTTTTAAGTTTTTTTCCTACAAAATTAACAAATGCGTCTTAAATTTTTTGCAGTAGAGAAGTGGTATATAAATGGAACACTATTAGAACTGTGTAGTTTTACATTAAAATGTCGCGTTTAATTTGCGTCTTAATATTTTTACCGATGTTTTCTTTACAGATTCCGTGCTCACGAACGACTCTTGCACGTGAGATTGGAACCGTAAAGTGTTGATGTGTCTACGAGACACGAGAAGCCGAAGAAAGGAAACACTTTTTTACTGGTGGTAGTACCACTTGTGAGTCCGCGCGGGTAGGTACCACCGCTCTGCCTATTTCTGCCGTGAAGCAGTAATGCGTTTCGGTTTGAAGGGTGGGGCAGCCGTTGTAACTATACTGAGACTTTAGAACTTGTATCTCAAGGTGGGTGGCGCATTTACATTGTAGATGTCTATGGGCTCCAGTAACCACTTAACACCAGGTCGGCTGTGAGCCCGTCCACCTATCTAAGCAATAAAAAAAAAAAACACTACAAATTAATTCTTCACGATCATTTATTACTAAAAACTAAGGAATAAAAAAAAGTTAACAATGTTAACAATTAGCAATGATCAAACCATTGACGTAAGTTTAAAATCACAATGACACCTAACGTTTGACGTTTATGACACGATACGTTCACAAGTCATTACCATAGATAATACACATAATGTCATTTTCCTCCACCGTCACGAGATAGCCAAATGTGTGTCTTAAACGATAATTTTATTAACAAGCCGCCTTTTTTGAAAGATCTGACGATTAATTAGTACACAAATAAATAAAACATTGGATAGGATATCTATAGAGTGTATAATGAGGATGGTTGAGGTCAATCGTCAAGTTACCAGGGGCCATAAACAAAATTACAAGGAAGTACCAAACGTTGCTCTCGTATCAACTAGAGCACTGTCTGGATTATGGAGGGTAGAAGAAAGGAGCACCATCTCACTGTATTAAGACGCCACAGTTGCAAGTAGAAAGATTTTAAACACAACGTCATAAACTCTGTTTAAAATTGATATATTCAATTTCCTACACTAGCGCTATTTCGGTGAATCTTCTATCAATAACTCGCTGTTAACAGGTGGAAACTATTTCAACTTGTTCCCCATACAAGAAGGTACTCTTTACCTCTGCCCTCCATAGTCTGGATTGGCTTAAAGGTCTCGTTACCATGCTATAAAATCTTCAAAAAAAAAGAGCAGCTTCCAAGCTTAACTTATTTATCCAACTAGTTGTGGCCCACATATCTTTGGTCGAAACGTACGGTTAGGTAGGTTGTGGTGAGCCCGCACGAGCGAGCAACTACTTTCTGATAATCGGTGATCACATAACACTCGGTGGGCTGTGAGCTCGTCCACACATTTAATAAACATTTTAACACAAAACTAAAAATACCAAGTATCTATTTGCTAATAATATAAATTGACACATTTACCAAAATTATCCTAAATTAATTCTCAAAATCAGTCTTGTCACTTCCGTTCTTGTCAAGAATCAACTTTTGTAGATATTACAAAAATACATTTTGATTAAAAACTAAGTAATTCGACGGAATAAAAACTGAATTCTCCAACTATCAATGTTCAACGAAATGAGTTAACTACAACGTTTGATGATTCCAAGCGGATAAAATTTAAAAATCCAAAAGCAACTTATAATAGCAGTGTCAGGCACGCGGACAAACAAACAGACACAATGTTTAGTCACGTTCCCTGCTGATGTTCTCAAAGTTCGGTTCGATGGCACGTATCTTGTCTAGCAGCACTTCAGCCAGGCACTTATCCGAATCGGTGTCTGGAAAAACACAAAATTTACATACGTCTAGATCGCTTCCAGAGCCTATTAATATAGGGCAGAGATGCCCCCGGTCCCCTGCGTGTGCAGTCGGGCTCACAATACGCATTAACACAACTTAGCGCTGCAACACAGGACCTCCACGAGAATAGATCTTGTCCCACCTCCCCCCAGTCAGATCCCCAACGTACTGTTACACCAGTGAGAGTAACGCTATCTATCGCCGAATCTAGAATGCTCGATAATTACAGCGCCATCTATTGTCAGACAGCGGAAACACACATCGAAGGTACTCAACTTGTGAGGAATGTTCTCGATAAACCTAGGGATGTCGTATCGACTTTAAAAGCGTTACAGAAATGGTACGTAGTGAGTCAGTAATCGAAACTACTCGAAGCGAAACAGCGAACGGATCACCTGAATTATTATGTTCTTATATTACGTGCCTTAGCCTCAGTCCCTTGTCAATTAGGACTAGCCACTATATAAGTAAAATATTTTTAAAATGTGCCTTGTTAATAATGTATTTAAAGTTAAAATAATTGTTGTTAATAAAGTAAATAAAGTTTTTACTGGTGGTAGGACCTCTTGTGAGTCCGCACGGGTAGGTACCACCACCCTGCCTATTTCTGCCGTTAAGCAGTAATGCGTTTCGGTTTGGAGGGCAGCCGTTGTAACTATACTGAGACCTTAGAACTTATATGTCAAGGTGGGTGGCGCATTTACGTTGTAGATGTCCATGGGCTCCAGTAACCACTTAACACCAGGTGGGCTGTGAGCTCGTCCACCCATCTAAGCAATAAAAAATTTAAAAATCTGAAGCGAATTGGGAATTTTAAAGTGTTTGTTAAGTGTTCTAAGCGTTAATAGTTTTAATTTGTACCTTGGTGCAACTTTTTATTTATCCCGAACCCCAGCGCATAGCAGTACAATAAACAGGGGGGTTCAGTGGTTTCCAACGACTACACCGTCCATTAAAACAAAAAAGGAACCGGAACGACTCACCGAAGTAAACCAATTCGCATTTACCGCGACAGTCCTCGCTTTTGTCTATAACGTTAGTCAGCGTGCGCGTGAAGTCGTCTATGACCTCCTTTTTGTCTATGTTGTCTATTTCTGTAAACACAATAATTAATCTCGATTAAAACTTTAAAAATAAAACACTGTATTTGTGATTGTAAATAAATATTCATTTATTTATATTTATTTAATTAACTAACTAACTAATTTATTTATTTATTTATTTATACGTTCAAACCGCTCTGAGACGGTAAGCGACGGGGTTGCCTGGGTAACAGCTCACCTGAATAGAGTTGCCGGTTTTTCACGACGTTGTACAGAGTGTGTATGGGCGTGGCGCATTCCACGGCCAGGTATACCGGCGGTCCGTCCGGCCTCCGTATCATGTACGCAGAGTTCTTGTACTCCCTATTCTTGACGCCGGCCACGTCCTTCGTGATCCTTGGTAGGCTCTGAAAAAAACACACATTCAATATGGGTATAGATAAAAAAAATAGTTGTCATAAATGTGATCGATTTTCGAGGTGACGTAAACAGTGGCATCAAGAAAATGAAGCCGTTGCCTCAAAATTGTATATAATCTGTGACATAGTCATACTCCATAATACTCCATATTGTTTATGAGACTTTTTGGCGGGAACGCGAGAGTGAAGTTGTGTGATTTGGTTTGTTTTGTCTATTTAGTGTTTCTTCAGTTTTAAATGTGTAATAACGTTGGTTTATTAACTGTTTAATATCTGTGAAAGGGCACAAATGTGGGAAAATGAAACAAAGCCGCTGGATGTAACTTCTCGGGATCCTACTAAAAGTCCATTGAAAAAGTCTCAGTAGATGACCACCATTTTTCTGAGATTATATTTCATCCCATATCATCTCATTTCGTCTCATATAATTTCATCTTAGTTGATTAATGTCTCAAATTAATTATCTTTATTTCATGTCACTCCATGTTACCACTTTTCACAAAAATAAGAATATAAATTAAAATAAGACTAGATCTAAAGGTCTTAGTTACCAGGCCGTAAAATCCCTAAAAAAATTTGTTTATAATATTATTTCAATTATTTCTATAAACTAAGTAAAATTTATTATTATCTAAAAACATGTCAGATTGATTTACCTCACGTTATTGGATGAGTGTTCAAGAAGTCATGATTACCTTCATTCTTGGAGTTTTAGTTACGAGTTTTAAATTTGTCAATGAAATCGTGCTAATACAACTGATTTTTTTTAAGGGATTTTATGACCTGGTAACTGAGACCTTTAAGTCATGTCTTATTTTAATTTATATTCATATTTTTATGAAAAATGATATTATGGAGTGGAATGAAATGAATTTGAGACATTAATCAACTGGGATGAAATTAAATGAAATGAAATTGGATGAAATATAATCTCAGTAAAATGGTGGTCATAAAATTTACTAAGATTTTTTCAGTGGACTTTTTGGAGGATCCCGAGATGTTACGTCCAGCGGCTTTGTTTAATTTTCCCACATTTGTGCACTTTCTCAGATATTAAACAGTTAATAAACCATCATTATTACATATATCATTATTTCGGTAGGCAGCGGCTTGGCTCTGCCCCTGGCATTGCTGAAGTCCATGGGCGACGGTAACCACTCACCATCAGGTGGGCCGTATGCCCGTCTGCCTACAAAGGCAATAAAAAAAAAAAAAAAAACATTTAAACCCGAAGAAATACTAAATAGACAAAATAAAACAAATCACACAACTTCACTCCTCGCGTTCCCGCCAAAAAGTACTAATACAACTGACATTTGAGTCGTGCACAGAGTATATAAAAATATATATTGTAATCAGTTGTTCCTCCTATTACAAAAAAAAAATCCTATTCCTCAAAATAGTTTTAGAACCAAAGAAATTTGAAAAAAGAAAAGCAAGGTCAATGCGCCTTCTTTAAGTACTTAAGAATTGTGTGCTTACTGTGTTAAATTCGTATGGAGTTGGAAAGTTTGCTGCTAGGGGCGCTGTTCCAACTCCATACAAATTTGAGTTAACTTTTACGCTATCGAGAACGTTAAGAAACTCGCAGTAAGCACACGGCACAGCTCCGATATCACGTGGTTCGTTTAATTACTGTTTTGTAAGATCATTAACATTTTGTACTTATCGAATAAATTATTTAGTAATATTGTGCCCGCTTTAAGGTAACATTTTTTTTTTGTAGTAACTTTACTGAGACCTTAAATCTTATATCTCAAGGTGGGTGGCGCATTTACGTTGTAAATGTCCATGTGCTCCAGTAACCACTTATCACCGGGTGGACTGTGAGCTCGTCCACCCATCTAAGCAACAAAAAAAAAGCCTGGTACATCATGCTTACGAAGCCGAAGAGTTTTAATTACCCCGTTTGGAGCTGGGGCTTCGCTTGGCAAAAGGCTAGCTAGTCCCCGGGGGATACAAACAGTCAATCACCTCGCAAGCATCAAGGGAGGGCAGGTCCGGCCTGTTCTCGCGATTGAAGAATTTGAGGTCCGGCGGGCAGAACAGGGACTTCGTTATCACAACGAACAACCTCCTGACCGGAAACACGATGCTGTGGTAGTTCTCGTAATTGCTTATGTTCTCCTGGTAATGGGAACGACACGTGTATTAAGTTTGCAAAAAATTGACACACAGAAACGTTATCTAGGGTTTTTTTTATTGCTTATATGAGTGGACTAGCTCACAGCCCACCTGGTGTTAAGTGGTTACTGGAGCCCATAGACATCCACAACGTAAATGCGTCACCCACCTTGAGATATAAGTTCTAAGGTCTCAAGTATAGTTACAACGGCTGCCCCACCCTTCAAACCGAAACGCATTACTGCTTCACGCAGCAATAAGCGGGGTGGTGGTACCCGCCCGCGCGGATTCACAAGATGTCCTACCACCAGTATGAAAATTGAATTAAAAAAGAAACATTAAAATGCAAACAGAATAAAAACCGACCGGATTTTTATACTGTTATCAGACCAGGTTATTGTGGCCCATAGACAACGCTAATGCTCACTCTGCGTCACAAAATTATAGTCCTAATTACAACGGCTCACGGATGATTGTGGAGCGCCCAAAAACGAAAGATAAATAGAACACTTAACTATAGGCTATAGTAACTTAACTATAGTACTTAACGGTAGGCAGCGGCTTGGCTCTGCCCCTGGCATTGCTGATGTCCATGGGCGACGGTAACCACTCACCATCAGGTGGGGCGTATGCTCATCTCCCTACAAGGGCAATAAAAAAATAAAAAAAGAACAGATGTCATTATTAGCTTCATGAGGATTCGCGCTGCGTGGTGGACCCTTTCAGACACAAGCATTGATGATCTTCTATGTATATATTATTATATCCTACGACGGCTTTTAAAATTCGGTAACCTGTCAACCTATTAACACAGTTATTGACTGTCCGTTGCGTCTATTTTTGCTGGCAAGCTGGTGCAACCTAAAAAATCTATACTTAATATTATAAAGAGGAAAGATTTGTTTGTTTGTTTGTTTCGAATAGGCTCCGAAACTACTGGACCGATTTGAAAAATTCTTTTTCCATTAGAAGCCGACATTGTCCCTGATGAACATAGGCTACTTTTTTTTATTTATTTTTTATTTTATTTTTTTGGTTTCATGTGTGTTTTAATGTTTCCGAAGCGAAGCGAGGGCGGGTCGCTAGTATTTCATAATCACAAACCACAAATATCGAACTACCGTACAAAATGTATATTTACCTGAAAACCTACGAATCTATAGCCGTCCGAGGGTATAACGTGGTTCAAGTATCCTTCGAAGTAGCTGCAGGCCATCCCCACTCCATAAGTGACAGTTGACGGCTTCCGGTTCTGTTCAAACATTAAATGATAAAGATATCAAACATTGAACTTAAAGAGTAATTGAAGACATGAATGGATGAAGGGGATATGATATATTTGGGAGTCTTAACGACGAAAGGAAAGATCTTCCACCGAGCGGGTGAATTTTGCTCGGTAGACCGACGGTCCAAATGTTGTTGTTCGGAACTTGTATATATGCGCTTTATCTTGAAAATGTCGTAAGCGAGATTCAGGCATCTGTCAATTATCTTGCGTTGTATGATGGCTACCCGCCACATTGTTATCACATGCAACACAGAGCGATCGATGTTTTGTTTTCTGAATTTCATTATGTATGTATAAAAAAATGCATGAAAGGAGAAAAATCCATGAATAAATTTTAATAATCTAACTTAAAACTCTTGCTTAAATTATTTGATTTATTATTGACAGCATTATTATTTAAAGATATGTCTTAATTTAATGTGTGGTGGTAGCCATCATAGAACACGAGAAGTTTAAGCTATGCCGTGCCGGCAGATGAGCATACGGCCCACCTGATGGTGAGTGGTTACCGTCGCCCATGGATTTCAGCAATGTCAGGGGCAGAACCAAGCCCCTGCCTACCGTGCGTTCAATTAAAAAGATCAAACTGTTGATGTTAATACCAAATAAAACGCACCTTTAACTACAAAAATTAATGTCGCGTCTAACTGTCGCTTACGCTAAAAGGAGTGAAAAGGAACTGCTCGACAAGTTGTTTGACAGTAGCCTGAGACTCGACATTTTCAAGGTAAGCTTGCTGGTTTATGCGTACAAAAATACCAAAAAAAAACCAACATCGGTCAAGGAGCACTACTGCCACCGCACCGACACTTCTCTCGCAACCTTACACATAACACCTGTGTACCTGTATATCACCTGTATATCTATATCTATATCTATACTAATATTATAAAGAGGAAAGATTTGTTTGTTTGTTTGTTTCGAATAGGCTCCGAAACTACTGGACCGATTTGAAAAATTCTTTTTCCATTAGAAGCCGACATTGTCCCTGATGAACATAGGCTACTTTTTTTTATTTATTTTTTATTTTATTTTTTTGGTTTCATGTGTGTTTTAATGTTTCCGAAGCGAAGCGAGGGCGGGTCGCTAGTATTTCATAATCACAAACCACAAATATCGAACTACCGTACAAAATGTATATTTACCTGAAAACCTACGAATCTATAGCCGTCCGAGGGTATAACGTGGTTCAAGTATCCTTCGAAGTAGCTGCAGGCCATCCCCACTCCATAAGTGACAGTTGACGGCTTCCGGTTCTGTTCAAACATTAAATGATAAAGATATCAAACATTGAACTTAAAGAGTAATTGAAGACATGAATGGATGAAGGGGATATGATATATTTGGGAGTCTTAACGACGAAAGGAAAGATCTTCCACCGAGCGGGTGAATTTTGCTCGGTAGACCGACGGTCCAAATGTTGTTGTTCGGAACTTGTATATATGCGCTTTATCTTGAAAATGTCGTAAGCGAGATTCAGGCATCTGTCAATTATCTTGCGTTGTATGATGGCTACCCGCCACATCACTCCCCTCCGAGACCGGAGGTCGTGTCATTTTTAGTTATCGTTGTCCGTGCTGAGATTAGCTTGCAAGGGCCAGTGCTGCTCGAAGCCTGCGGTGAGTCGAGGCTGAGCTTGAATGCTGCGTGCGTGTCGCCAGTGCTGCTCGAAGTTTGCAGTGAGTCGAAACTGAGCTGAATGCTGCGTGATTGTCGCCAGTGCTGCTCGAAGTCTGCGGTGAGTCGAGACTGAGCTTGAATGTTGCGTGCGTGTCGTGCGTAGTCCATGTGATGCAGAGCTGCCACGCCGGAGATGTGTGACCCCAAGCGTTGATGATCCGGTCGTGGGCTGCGATGAACTGTAGCGGCGTGATGAGGCAGTGAAATTGCGTGCCGTAGGACCAGGAAGCGCGGTGAGTCGGCTGCGATGGTCCTGTTGTGGCTGCGATGCTGGCTTGCTGTGGGACGACTGTCAATGACGTGCTTTTATCTGCGTGAATGCGGGGATTGTGGTAGCCGGAGTTCTTGATGCGCTGAAGATGAATCAGAAGGTTGCGTGTACACATCACGTCGCAGGTCACCGGTTTGGGAGTCTTAACGACGAAAGGAAAGATCTTCCACCGAGCGGGTGAATTTTGCTCGGTAGACCGACGGTCCAAATGTTGTTGTTCGGAACTTGTATATATGCGCTTTATCTTGAAAATGTCGTAAGCGAGATTCAGGCATCTGTCAATTATCTTGCGTTGTATGATGGCTACCCGCCACAATATAATTTGTTAATTTTGAGAAAACGGGCAACGAGCTTTGGTTACTTGTACTTTTCTTCGTACATACATCCCCCTTTCCCCTTCATCACGTGCAATTTCCAAAAATAGCCTTTAAACCTGGAGTTTTAAGGTCTAGTATGATTTAGAGGCACATAACACCTTCATTCGATGTAGAAACTCAAAAATCTTAAAAATATTTAACCCCTTCATCCACTCAAGTCTTCAATCATATCAAAGTTAAACTTAAAAAAGTATTTATGTCAAAAACTGGTCCTTCGATTTTATTTATTTTCACACTAGCAACGTTATAAATATTCCTCCTGTAAACAAATTTTACTGATCGATTCTTCGTAGAGTTTGTTAGGAATACTTAGTATTATTACCTCCTTGGTTATGAAACTCCTTGTATATTTTAAAAAGATATAGTTAAAATATGTTAAGTCAAAAAAATAGTCTTTTTCGTATGTATGATAAAAAGAAATGTGTTTTTTGTTTCGTCATTAAAAATCTTTTTATTTTTATTTTCGTAACTTTAACAAAATCACGATGGCTCAATAGACCAAATCCTCATTTCTCTACTTCCATTAAACAGACAGTAAAAAAAAAATACCCGCTCACATTTTCGTCGCGGTGCAACAGGAGATAGGCTACGAACAGCGACACGAAATCCTCCCCGAATAATTTCAATTTCGAATAGTACAGGACCAGTGAGGAAACGACGAACAAAACGATCGTGTTCCGTTGTTTCTCGACGAGTCTAGAAAAATCTAGAACCGCATTGTTGTGCAGCGCGTCGTACGCCATTACGGCGGCGGGCCTCGACACGCGAACCAATATGAAGTAAACGATGTAGCGAGCTGGAATACCAATTTGTTCGTTTTGGTTATTGTATTATATTATTATTTTGTATTGATGATCACTTTGTTGGTGCAACTTAATAAATAAATAAATAAATATTTACTAACAATCACGCCACGTTAACTGGTCCCCCGTGATAAGTTCGAAAAGAACTTGTGTTACAGGTACCAGATAACGGAAATAAATGTAAGATTTTTATTATACACATACATATATTTAATATACATCCATAACCCTGGAAAAGCCATTTATATTTATCATACAAATATCTTCCCTTGGCGGGATTCGAACCCGCAACCCCCTTGTGTAGTGACCATATCACTTACTACTACACCAGACGGCCGTTAAATAAATAAATAAATAAATATTTCCGCCCTAGCAGCTTTCATTACTGAACCATTACTGTATTCATTACGACACATTAAATTAATATCGTTGTTTTTTTTTGTTTTTTTTATTGCTTAGATGGGTGGAGCTCACAGCCAACCTGGTGTTAAGTAGTTACTGGAGCCCATAGACAACTACAACGTAAATGCGCCACCCACCTTGAGATATAAGTTGTAAGGTCTCAGTATAGCTACAACGGCTGCCCCACCCTTCAAACTGAAACGCATTACTGCTTCACGGCAGAAATAGGCGGGGTGGTGGTACCTACCCTTGTGGACTCAAAAGAGGTAATAAATGTAATATAAATTACTTTTCGAGTCATGTAAAATACACTAAAGTATTTATTCTAAATATTAAGCTATACATCTCATGAATTATTTCGCAGTAATTCCTTTTCGTTTGGATAAAAGAAGTTGCAGTGTCCTGTATCAAAATCAAGATAGTGCTTTTTGTAGTATTCACGCAATATTAACGCTGTAATGGAGCTTTCGTGTGAAAACGCTGATGTATCGCCGACAAAGTACGTTGCTAGGGTCACTCCAAGCGCTTTGATAATGTTAAAAAGTTCTCACCAATATTAGCCAGCCAATCCTGATTCATGTCTATATTCTGTGAGCCTGCGAGACAAACATAACAGACATTAAAAACAAAAAAATACGTCGCCTTCGAGCATTAGCCGTCATTAGCGCCTTCTTGACTCTGCAAGTAAATTAACGGAATGCCTTGGACGGAATTATTTGTCCTAATTAGTGGACTTTGTGGAGAGTACTTAAGGGTAGGGCAACGGCTTGGCTCTGCCCCTGGCATTGCTGAAGTCCATGGGCGACGGTAACCACTCAACATCAGGTGGGCCGTATGCTCGTCTGCCTAAAAGGGCAATAAAAAAAATTCAGCGCGAAATCTAATCACCAAATACCTTACTTTTAGTATATCGAATAGTCTGCTAACAAAACTCGAATATTCTAGAAAAGAAAGAATATACAGTGCAAAAAGAATATTGAATCATCAGATTTTGCGTTGTAAGTACGGTAGTTAGTTAAGCCGAAACTTTAATCAACCATTAGCCAATAAAAAGCAAATAAAATAAATTATTAATAAGTAATGTTTCTTTGAGATTTTCTTTTACTGACTCTACGTGCTTGTTGAACTCATTGTACCCTCGCCGAGAGCATCAGGGACAAATTGATTCAATTCGCCCGCCAGCGACAACGGAGATTTCTAATGCATCACGTTGTCACGATTTTGTGTCTTGCAAAAAAAAACGTTTGATATCCAAACTCTGCAGGAAATTGTTTTCTCGTACGCATATTGTATTATTGACAATATACGGTACTCATAAAATCAGAACGATATCCTAACTCAAGACGAACATGGCCTAAAGTGTTCTAAAGTGTAACCATACTAGGTCCTTAGTACTTACATATTTTTTTTATTGCTTAGATGGGTGGACGAGCTCACAGCCCACCTGGTGTTAAGTGGTCACTGGAGCCCATGGACATCTATAACGTAAATGCGCCACCCACCTTGAGATATAAGTTCTAACGACTCAGTATAGTTACAACGGCTGCCCCACCCTTCAAACCGAAACGCATCACGGCAGAAATAGGCAGGGTGGTGGTACCTACCCGTGCGAACTCACAAGAGGTCCTACTACCATTAAACAAGGTGGGTGGCGCATTTACGTTATAGATGTCCATGGGCTCTAGTGACCACTTAACACCAGGTGGGCTGTGAGCTCGCCACCCGTCTAAATAATAAAAAATAATGACTTATATTCACAATATAAAAAATGAACAAGATTAATCAAAATTCACTGAGAAGATCCGTGTGTTGCTTCCTTTCGTTTGCCATTATACCAACGTCATTAAAATTTGAGTTATCTTTTATATACGCGATTGAGATATTAAAAACATAGATAATACATTTAATATTTGAGATTTGATAAAAAAAAACTCGCATTAAGCACACCGATCTCTTGGCTTTTTTTTGCTCTTTGTCCTGTTTTTTGATACAAAAATAATGGTCACCGTGCTGGTACGTGACTTAAAATACTATAAGCAGAGTGTTGACCCTGTAAAGACGGTTATCGCTTCGTGACTTCACAATGCGCTCCCTTCATCAATGGGTGTAGGCATGTTGGCTGCACTTACACAGCTAGTTAAGAGATTACACAATGTATTCATTATACTTGAATATGTATTAATTTTAATTGAATGCTTCTAGCTTATACTTTAATCCAGTTTCCCAGAACCACATTTTGTTTGATTAATAGTTATTTGTAGTTCTAATTATATTGGTTATTCTATATATGCTATATTTTAATTATATGCTTTGTTAACACATATAACCACTATTTTCTAATATATAAAGTTCTCGTGTCACGGGGTGCGTGATTGAACTCCTCCGAAGCGGCTCGACCGATTTTCGTGAATCTTAGCGTGCATATCGGTCAGGGTTGAGAATCAAACAACATCTATTTTTCATCCCCCTAAATGTTAAGGGTGATCCACCCCAAAATTTTTATTTTTATTCTTTAGACAAATTTTTATTTTTTATTTTTTTTATGAATGATATTATTGATGAATGATATATGTGTGCAGGACGAAATAGGATTTTATCCTTCTAGGATTATAGGAATAGAATTAATATAGTTAATAAGTAATTACGTAGCAAAATGTATAATCTTAAATTATTTAATATGCAATATGTTAGTGTATCAGATCAGAGAATGTGAATAGACCAATAAGAACAATTCGTGGAGCGCTTTCACTACGGTAACATACAGATCAAGGGACCTCCAAAAGTGACGCGTCGATAGCGCGTCGCGAGATGGGGTACAGAAATAAATATAAAAGGATGGCCATTTATAGGCAAAAAGAGTTCCCAGCGAATCTCCGACAAAGAACCATCAGCAAGATAGAAACAGTTCTCAGTGGATCTTCGACAGAAACAGTTCTCAGCAGATCATCAAGACAGAAACAGTTCTCAGAAGCTCTCCGACACAGAAACATCAGCAAGACAGAAACAGTTACCAGCAGTTCTCCAATAGTACAGTTATCAGAAAACCACCAGTGAATCAGCTACCAGTGAACCAGACAGTTACCTGTGAAACCTCGCTACAGAAGCCGATACCCATCGAAAGAAACAGCCGTCTTCTACCAGCGCACAAACAGACAGCAGAAAACATTATTACACGACTCGGAAACAGCCATACAGACCGGGTCGTGTACAATATGAATATATATTTTGTATATACAAAAATACATACAACCCTAAATTTTCACTTCTCTACGATTAACCCTTATTTTTTATTTGCTAATTAAAAACTTTAAAATTTTTTGCGAGAATTTTGTTTTTATTTTGTCATGACTTAGAATAAAAATTTCATAGTACTCTGAAATTTTCACCCCTCTACGATCAACCCCTGTTTTTTATTAGTTAATTATAAACTTGAATTTTTTTGGCAAGTTTTTTTTTTGTCATGATTTAAAATAAAAAAAATTGTATTACTCTCAATTTTCACTCTTATACGATCAACCCCTATTTTTCCAACCCGATTTTTTTTTGTTCTATACACATATCCGCAATAAGGTTGCAAGATGGCAATCAAATATTATTGTTAGTTACCATACTCCTCTGAAACGGTTTAACCGATTTTTATGAAATTTTATATGCATGTTCAGTAGGTCTGAGAATCGGCTACTATCTATTTTTCATACCCCTAAGTGATAAGGGCTATCCACTCCTAACATTATTATTTTAATTTTTTTATTTTTTTTTTTTTTTTTTATAATGAGGTGTTAATGTGGTTGAATGTGGCTTTATTATTTTTATATTCCCTCATAGTTCACAGCGCTACATACCTCTTTCACTCATTTACCACATCCTTACACACTTACAATAAGTTAGTTTTTTTTTCTACACTAGAAATTCCCTAGAAATCTTATATATGGCAAAACAACGTTTGCCGGGTCAGCTAGTATTACTATAAACTATAGTATGTGTTGACTTTAATCCCTGACGTCACAAGTCTAGGGCAACAAAGTTAATGTTGACAATAAGCGGCACCTACCACCACACAGTATTGACTCACAGCATCATTAAGGTCACTACCTCAGGCTCATCTATTTTGCAGCAGCTGTACAAGTCTGCAGCGCAGTTCTTGGTGACATCAAAAACGTACGAATTAAATAGGATAAGTCAACAAAAGTCTTTTTTATTAAATGTAATTTGTTTAATGGCATTTGTTAATAATTATCTTGGTACAAATTGAATGGAAGCAATAATTTATGAAATTGAAGCCGCGGATATTCGAGCAATATGTTCTCGCTGTGATGGTGTATGTTGCCGGGACATGGACGCTCACAAAGCAAATTATGACCAAAATGCAAGTTACGCAGAGAGTCATGGAACAGGCTACGTTAGGCATTTCTCTACCGGATAGAATGTGCAATACCGAAATCCGCAGAAGAACTATATAGTTTGACTGACATAGCCAAAGTAATTGCTCGGAAAAAGTGGAAGTGGGCCGGCCACATATGCCGTCGCACTCATAATCGGTGGGGCACAAAAGTACTGAAGTGGGCAGACAGCCAACGAGGTGGACTGATGACCTGGTCTAAGTAGTTGGTAGAGACTGGATGAGAAACGCAAGAGACCGAAGAGAATGGGGTGCATTTGAAGAGACCTACACTCAACATTGGGTGAACACGGCTGAAGAAGAATAATTTATGTTAATAAAATTAGGTCCTCCAGCCATATCCTGTGAATTGCAACACTGTTGCCGATCAGCTGGTGTTCCGATCAGTAACTTTTTTATTCCAGGAGGCCTCCCAATTGCACCCTTGTTCTTGGATATTTTATGTAAAAAAAAAAGTACTTTGATCGCTTTAGCTTCGGTAAACAGCTATAAATTGGCGGCGATTCTCAGAAAGTTAAATCTAAAGCTTTTTTCTAATGATTTTTAAGTTACGACCTCATCTTGGCAGGACCTAAACGCTATTATAGGGTTCCCAATGATTTCGAGTGTTGTTTGACGCCACTTTATATAGTGAGCACACAGACATGTGTAGTTTGGTTAGTAAAAGAAATATCACTTGAATGGTATCGTAACATGAACAAGTGAAGTCGTCGTGGCCTAAAGGATAAGACGTCCGTTGCGTTCGTATGTAGCGATGCACCGGTGTTCGAATCCCGCAGGCGGGTACCAATTTTTCTAATGAAATACGTACTTGACACATGTTCAAGATTGACTTCCACAGTGAATGAATAACATCGTGTAATAAAAATCAAACCCGCAATATTATAATTTGCGTAATTACTGGTGGTAGGACCTCTTGTGTGTCCGCACGGATAGGTACTACCACAACGTCTATTTCTGCCGTGAAGCAGTAATGCGTTTCGGTTTGAGGGGTGGGGCAGCCGTTCTAACTATACAGAGACCTTAGAACTTATATCTCAAGGTGGGTGGCGCATTTATGTTGTAAATGTCTATGGGCTCCAGTAACCACTTAACACCAGGTGGACTGTGTCGTCCACACATCTACGCAATAAAAAAAGCGAATAATCCCATTATAGTACAGGTTACATGACAGTACTATTAGCATGCTAGTTCCTTAGTCAATGGCCTATAATTTTGATACAGGGAATGCCTGCCTATCCTAAAAGTTAATGATAACTTTTTTTTTATTGCTTAGATGGTTGGACGAGCTCACAGCCCACCTGGTGTTAAGTGGTTACTGGAGCCCATAGACATCCACAACGTAAATGCGCCACCCACCTTGAGATATAAGTTCTAAGGGTCTCAGTATAGTTACAACGGCTGCCCCACCCTTCAAACCGAAACGCATTACTGCTTCACGGCAGAAATAGGCAGGGCAGTGGTACTTACCCGCGCGGACTTACAAGAGGTCCTGCCACCAGTAATTACGCAAATTATAATTTTGCGGGTTTGATTTTTATTACACGATGTTATTCCTTCACCGTGGAAGTCAATCGTGAACATTTGTTAAGTAGAATTAAACAAAAAATGTATTATAATAATATTAAGATTGCAGATCAGCAATCGAACTTACCTATTGTGATACCCAAGACAAACAGCACCCTCAACAATGTTATATGAGTCTCATTTAAGCCTGCCATTCTGAAAATAAACATACTAATTGTATATTTCGTGTTTACATTAACTATAATTCATTTACTTTGATAAAAATTTTGGCCAACCCTGACTTAATATTGGTTTTTAAGTATCATTGATTTGTAGTGTATTCACCACAAAAAAAGAAGTTCAAAAGTGATAATTTTAATTACTTACAAGTAACTGATTCTAAAAAGGGTGCGTGTACTTATGTACGCGCGTAAGAAGTTATACTTTATTTTTATTAAATTTATTTATTATTATTATTTTTTTAATTTTAATCAATTTGAAAAAAAATCGATTAAACAACATCCTCAAACACGCATATTGGACATCCCTTTTCTTGACATCGTATAAATTCGGTAATTCTCGGTACGGTTCGGAAAGTTCACCTGCGGCTATATTCAGACTCACCAAGTTACGTCGGTCGTATTGTAATGGGCGATTTAGTGGGCAACTTCATTCTGTTAATTTTGTGTCACGGTGCGCGCGCATGGTAAAATTTCACTCTCATCAATTTTTAATAACACGCCTAAAGAAGTATAATTTCAACAACCATTTTTAAAAATTAAGGCAGATTGGGCAGCCCAGTTGATTAAGATAGCCCAGACAACTGGGCAACATACAGCCATTATCATCCTAACCACATCATTTCAAAGTTAGCTTGTATACACAACCCACTGAGTTTCTCTCTGGATCTTCTCAGTGGGTAGCATCTCTAATTTGGTGGTAGATTCTGAAAATCACTGGCCATACTGGGGCAAACGTTAGCCAAGTCTCTTAGGCTGAGGTCTGTGAGCCTCCCAGTTAGTTCGCTAAAACATGAATAGCTCCTAGAGGCTACTGGTAGTTAGGTAGGCACAAGGATACCTTTAGGTAGGACAACTCTATTTCTAAATATGAGTAGTAGTCCTACAATATCTATTTCATTGACCAATTAAAACCAGGTGCTAAATACAATGACCAACATGAATTATATAGTTCATTTTTATGTACAATCATGACATCATTCCCCATAGAGCATATACTGGCAGCAAAGTCTAGTTCTTGTTTCAGTTTTGATGGGTTTCGGAAGGTAATTTCTTACTTTTTACCTCCATTACATATTCCCTCGTCAAATGTTTATTCATCATCATGCGAGATTCATAGTTTTCAGCTCAGAATTTGATCTAGATTTTGTTTCGGGATAACAATGAAATTACAGGTCAACATAGGAATTTTTGTGGCTGTTTTTTCTATTCTATCAGCCCACAGACGTCCACTGCTGGACATCCAGCAAATCCGCGTGAACCTCAATGTGTCATCAGTCGATCTCGTGAGAGGCCTACCCACGCTATGTCTTCCGGTATTGCTTGCCACTCAAGAACTTTGAATGAGAAGGCTCAAGATCACCCAAAGAGCCATGGACAGGGCTATGCTCCGAGTTCTCCTACGAGATCAAATCAGAAACCATGGTAACCGACATAGCCCAAAGGATTGGGACGCTCTGGGGCCATTAAGTTCTTGTGGCTATGCAAATAATATTATTAGAAATAATTTCAACAGAGCTTGAATGGTGGATGGTCCTTTAAATTTTTGTTAAAGGCAAGCTAGGTGGATAAGTTCGCAATTTATTGACCTCTCACCCAATATGTATAAGAATTACGTAGGTTAGTACGAGGTATCCTAGTAATATTATATTTAAATTTGCAAATGCATGCAAATATGTAGGGTATCCAACACACTTCATTACGTCAATAGCTGATTTTTTCTGAAAACTTTTCATTTTTACAAATTTAACTCAGGTTGTTTGTAACTTTTTAGAAATTAAAATACAATTTATTCGTTTTTAAATACTTACATCGATGACAGATTTTATCTTCGCTTCAAATTTTGTTTACATCTATTAATCATTTCAATGCAGATGAAGCTTTAATTAAGTACAATGTACAAATAAAAAATTATTAAAAGTTTTACATACCGTACCGTACGGTACAAATACATTATATGTATAATCTATGGTACCTACCCCATAGATTATACACATAATATATTACCCTACCGTACATAATATACCTTGGCACAATAAATTTAGCCCCCCTTTTTTGATTTTCGTTTTTTTTTTATTATTTGTTCGTCGTTTGTTCGTTAATGTTCGAATGTAGAAATTGTTTATTCGTCTTCAATTTATTTATAATTAATTAAACAAATTATCACCGTTAAGTTGGCCCCTTTTACTAGATATCTTTATTTTTATCGCTCAGATTAATTAATTTTGATCAATGGGTTGGCCGGTTAAAGCTTTTCTCAGATGTCGCCAGCGTAGCTTGTTCCCTTGTCACAGAGAGCCGCCATTTTGTGTGTTTTGCGTTCGTGATATTTCGGCATTTTGTGACTTTGATACGGTTCTTATTACTTTCTAAGTAGTGCTAAACAGTTTTACAACATGTATTCCTACTGGATAGTTAAAGAATTAAAGGAGGAGTTGAGAAAACGTGGTGCATCTTTACGAGAAAAAAAAGTGGATTTTGTCGAAAGGTACAATGTTGATGTTTTATTTTAACTTAGAAAACTTCTCTCAAAATGTTTCCGGTAGCTATTATAATAATAATATTAAATTGTGTACCTTAGGAACTTTATTCCTTGTAGCATGTGCAAAAAGAATTGCTCATATTACACACATTACCTACCAACTAATATATTATTTTACTTTTTTCAGATTAGAGCTATATGACCAAAATTTTAATTTTGAAACAAAATGAAAAAATTGCTTTAGCAAAATATGCTAATATATATGATTTGCTAGTGGAGCCATGTGGCATTGTCATTAGCCAAGAGCGCCCATATCTTGCTGCATCTCCTGATGGTGTGTTGGGCGAAGAAACTATAATTGAAGTGAAATATCCATACGCTAGCAGAAAACATGAAATAAATATAACAACGGTGCCTTACTTAGAACAATGTAACGGGATATTGTCTCTAAAAAAAACCTGCCCATATTATTATCAAATCCAAGGGCAGTTATACTGCTCAGGCAAAACATACTGCAACT